CTGCTTCTCCGAGCCTGGCAGTATCTGGCCCCAGACTCAAGACGAGTCCCAGGACCAGTGTGGACAGGCAGGTCCTCCTCATGGAGAGCCTCTGGGGCCTGAGCCTCCTTCCACGGCCCCAGGGCCACCTCCCTGGTGTCTTCAGAGTGAGGATCGGTCGATGCCTGTGGGGCGAGAGAGCGTGCGAGGCCATAACTCCCCAGCAGGCACCAATGCTGGGCTGGGCACCTTGTGGCACAGCCCTCTGACCAACTCGGGGGGGACAGCAGGGCCTTGTGTTGACCCCTATCTTATGTCCAAGCCCTGGGGTTGGAGGTGGGGGGGCACTGGCCCTGGTAGCCCCCCTGCAGCTCCTAACACAGCCACCCCTGTGGGCATCAGGGATGGGGTGAGCAAATGCACCGTGATGGGAAAAAGGTGGGGGTCCCATGTCTGGTGTGGCTAACACACCACTTTCAGTCACGTCTTCTATGTAGCAGCTGGGCACTGCTGGGGGAACTGGTGAGCAAGGGACTGTCCCGGACCCATTCCCCACTACCACCCTAAAAAAGCATCATTACCTTTGGGAAGAAGCTTGGCACGAGGGCCAGCTCCCCTCTCCCCAGTTCATCCCTAAATGGATGCCATGGTGGATGCCAAACCTGTGCCCACCCATCACCAGCAAGAACTCACCAGGCAGTGGGTGAGTGGGTGCAGGTGACTGGGCTGACCAGACCCATCAGCATGGCCCAGGAGTGAGCCCTGTCCATGGAGCAGGCAGCTTCAGGGCCACCACAGGTGGAGGGGGTGAAGGGCTTTGCCAGCCACGGCATATGGGCCCTACACCATGCACATGGCTAGCAGTGGGTAGCGTGTCTGGGGCACTGGAGGGGCTCAGGTCTCAGGATGGGTCATAGAGATGAGGTCAAAAAAGGGCTTTTGCCTGGTGTGCATCATACCCCAAAACCCTCATCCAGCCCAAAGCCCAAGGACCTGCAAAACCTGCATCATACATGCTGCCTGGATGGGGGGGTCTGGGAGTGTCTCCATGGCAGATACCCCCATCCTTCCTTATGGACACCAGGGACCAGGACCCCAGAAAGCATCCCCGGTGACTCTTGTGTCCCTAGGGACAAGCAGCATCCAAGTCCAGCCATCCCCACGTGGGCACCCAATGCTGCTGGACCCCAGCCTCCTCCATCTCCTGGGTTGGTTTGGCTGGGAGGGAAGCAGGTAGCCCAAGCAGGGAGATGACGAGGTGGTGTGGGTGACCCAGCAGTGGGGAGGGAACAGGCACGCAGTGGTGGGGGATGGCGCCTACCTGAAGTGGAGAGAAATGGAGGGTGCAAGTGTAGAAAGATGGAGCATCGTGGGCTAAGAGTTAAGAGCATCGATACCTGCAGGAGTGAGCACAAGGGCCTGGAGGATGTCAGAGAGGGAGACAATGCCCCGTGGGTACTGGTTCTCATCCACCAGAACCAGGCGATGGACCTGTGGGTGCAGGCAGAGCATCACAAGCAGGTCAGGCAGTGGGCAGGGAGGGGGGCTGGTGGTGGCACGAGGTGCCCCAGCTGCTCACCTGCTCCTTCGTGATACGGTCAATGATGTCCTCCATGGTTTCATGGGGGTAGCAGGTGAGGACTCCCTCCAGGCAGATGCTGCGCTGCTGTAGTGCGTCCCGCATACTCATGTCCAGGTTATTGTAGGTTTTCTGGGCTGCCAGGTGCTGTGAGAGAGATGGCCCCACTCAGTGCCCCAACGTATCCTCTCAGCCCATTCTGCTGGCACCAAGGGGGACACCGAGCCCCCATGACACATAGGAAAGGTCTGCACCAACACATGCACTGGTGTACATGGGGTGGTTTTGCACAAGCACATGGCAGTGCCCCACCAGCAGCGTGCCGAGGGGCCACACTTGTGCCCAGGTGTGCAGACACAGGGTACTTACAATGACGTCAAACCGGGAGTAGAGGCCAACCACTTGCCCTGCAAGGAGAGACAGCTCAGAGGCTGGGGAGAGGGCACTGGGAGCCCACCCACCACACTCCCCCTGCACTCCGTGGGTGGGGCTAAGTGGCGAGGGGGAGGTTTGGGTGAGGATGGGGCTGGAACCACCAGCAGAAGAAGATGGGGGAGTTGCATGTCCCCTCCCCAGGTACCAGCATCGTTGACGACAGGCAGGGCGGAGACACGACGGTCCACAAAGATCTCCAGGGCAGCGTAGATAGGAGCGGTCTCAGGCACCACAGCCACATCGCGGAAGGTGCCGACACACAGCTCCTGCACCGTTTTCTTCAGGAAGCGTGGCTTGGGGAGGGTGGAGCCCTGCAGCGGGGCAGGACAGGGCTGGGCTGATACCTACTCGTGTGCCCACATCCTTGCTTTTGTCTCTGCATGCCCAACCTGTGTGTGTGCACAGCCCTGGCACTCACAAAGATGTGGAGGAACTTGAGGATGCGTTTGTGCGTCAGGATGTGCAGGACATTGCCCGAGACTGGCTCAATGACAGGCAGGCGGTGGATCTTGTGCTTGATCAGGGAGTAGACAGCATCGAAGAGGCTGCGGGTGATGGGAACACCGTGGGGGGGCTAGGGCTGTGTCCCAGGCACCCGCGGGGTGTGCTCTCCCCCAGCGGGCAGGCGCTCACCTGTTGCTTGGGGAGATGTAGACCAGGGGCTTGAGAGAGCCTTGCAGGTACACCTCTGCCAGGGGAGAGAGAGGGGAGTGGGGGTCCACCAGCCCTCTCATGCAGCCCTACACCCCCCAGAGCCCACCTCCATGCCTAGCACAACGTCCCCAGCCCAGCCACCCCCACTGTCCCCTGCTTTTTACCTCTCCAGGTCTCAATCTTGTGCTCCTCCACCTCATAGATCTGAACCTGAGGGCGGGGAGATGCCCTGGTCATGGTGGCCCCATGGGGGAATGAAGAGGGGTCTGGAGCACATTCCCCTTCCTCAGGCATCCCACCCCATCACCCTCTGTGCAGGGATCACATCTCAGGTGCTGGGCAGAGGGGCACCAAGGAGGCACCAGGCTGACCCAGAGCATCCCCCAGTCATGGTCTAGTGATGAAGAGGGGACTAGGAAAGGGAAGAGGGGACCAGAAGAGATGGGGACAGACCCTCTGTGCCCCATGCCCACCCCAACCCTCTGTGCCCTCCCAGCCACACTCACCAGGGGTGAGCGGTAGTAGCGGTGGAGGATGTTGATGAAGTCAGTGATGGTGAGCATCCCTGCAGAGACACGCGGGGCTGGCAGCACTGCCCACACCCCTCACTGTCAGGCAGGGGAAGGGGCCTGGTAGCACAGCTGGGACTCACCCACAAAGCTCTGTGTCTTGCTGTCCCAGAGTGGGGCAGCACGCACCCCGTTGGCCACCAGTGCCAAAAAGGCTTTCTTGATCTGCCAGTGGAGTGAGGAGGGGGTCAGGGGGTCTCCAAGCCTGCTCCCTCCCTGTCCATCCCCACCAATCCCCTGCTTTGTCACCTCCAGGGAGACGTCGAAGACAACTAGCTTGCAGCTGGTGGGGATGGCATCGTAGCAGCAGTGGCTCCTCATGAAGTGCATGTAGACCTCAGCATCAGGGCACTGAAACTCACTCTCTGGGCCCAGTCCCAGCATCTCGTTGCCCAGGATGAAGCTGACAGGTCTTCGGCTTCTCTGCCCATCCTCTTCCTCCTCCTCTTCCTCTTCTTCCCTATCCTCCCTGGGGCACAGTGCCTCCAGGAACCCTACAGGCAAACCCACCCCAGCCCTGGCCAGTGAGCTGAGCTGCCAGGTCTCAGCACCCTCCTGCCTGGGCAGAGCAGGGAGATGCTGTAGAAGGGAGTGCTCCCCACAGACACCCCTCATTCCCCACTCCATAAGGGCAGCACTGTGGCTCTCCAAGCAGGGGGGCACCAGAAGCTGCTGGTAAGGAGCTAAGGAGCAGGGCAATAAAGGGTAGAGGCAGGGTGGGCAACAAACCGATGCATTCATTGCATGAGTGAACCAGCCCACCCCCCTCCTAGGCACTGCCTACTACCCACCTTTGTCCTCGGGACTGGCAGCAGCATCCAGTAGTGCCACCTGAGAGGGCACAGAGCAAGGGGGGGTCAGCAGAGCCAGTCTGGCCTCTTTCCCCACCCATGGCTGCTGCCTGCACCCACCCAGCTGTCCCGGCCCCCTGCAAGCGATGCATAGGAGACCTTCCTTTTAGGGTGGGAAAGCAGGCTGGGCTCAGCTCCCATCCCTCCAGGGAGGCCCCCAGCTACTCAGGACCCCCAGAGCCTGCAGCCCCTGTGGTGGCTCCAGCCCAGGACTCCCAGCTTATGCCCCTAGTCTGGGAGGACAGCAGGGGTCCCTGAGTCAGGGCAGGGAATGGCAGGACCCTCCAGGCTCTCCCTCTCCTGTCAAAGCTAAGTGCGTCTTGCAGCACCTCTGCACCCATCTTCTCCCTCTCCTAACACCAAGGTGTAAATCCTGCTCCTGCTTCCTCCCGTGCCGTGCCTGGAGCCCCGCCAGCCCCACATGTGCCCCAGGTCCATCAGATCCACACCAGGACACCCTACAATAGCAATGGGAGCAGCCTCAGGGGGAGAGGAAGCCAGCACAGCTGGCTGGCTGGCTGACCCCATGTCCCCCAGCCCCCAGGAGACCCTTCCATAACAAAGCAGCACACGCCTGGGAAGAGCAACCCTGAACCACAAGCCGGCTGTTAGAGCCAATGTTTACAAGCCACCCTGGAATAACAAAGGCACAGGGGCTGTTCCCTAAGGAGCCCAGAACCAACTCAGGGAAGGAGGCAACCCTACCTCAGCGTCCCCCAACCCTTCCTAAGGGGCTGGGTACAGGCAGCCAGGGCAGACTGTGCTCTGTGTCCTTGTCCCCACGGCTGCCTGGCCGTTGGAAAGGAGCCACCACTCCCCAATGTCACCCTACCCAAA